TCCTCGAATCCTCAGTGTTAGGGTTATCACTAAAAAATAAATAATACATATTTTAATCGAAATAAATGTTTATCTTCAATTTTCACAAGCAAAATTTATCTGTTTCGGTAGCAAATTAAAATATCTGGATTATTTACCCGAAGAAAGGCATCAGAGATATAAGTGTTTGTCTGCTTGGTCTGGACGAGAATGCGGGCGAACATTGAGCTAATCTCCCGACNTCCTCGAATCCTCAGTGTTAGGGTTATCACTAAAAAATAAATAATACATATTTTAATCGAAATAAATGTTTATCTTCAATTTTCACAAGCAAAATTTATCTGTTTCGGTAGCAAATTAAAATATCTGGATTATTTACCCGAAGAAAGGCATCAGAGATATAAGTGTTTGTCTGCTTGGTCTGGACGAGAATGCGGGCGAACATTGAGCTAATCTCCCGACTACTCGCCGTAACCAATGCTGTAGCTTTTGTCGTCTCTCTTCAACAAATTTCGCATCCTAAGAACACGAAAAAATGACATTAAAAATTGCATTTTTTAAAAGCCTGCCGTCGCGTATAACTACCTTATTTCCTATTGTTTTCTTTGGCGGGAAATCAAAAGTAGTAACAACGGCATCATGTTTCTTCAATTCTCTATATAGCGCATAAAATTGCGCGTAACGCCTATATATATTCCATTCAGTATCTCTTATGCGTACATATATCTGCAAAGAGTGCAGAAAGAAACACGATTTAATTATAATATTTTGTGTGACTGAGGCATTTATTTTTTAACCCTCGGACAGTGAACACTGAAACTATTTCAATTCGGCATTTAATTTAACACAGATTTTAACACAGAATTTATTTTAACACAGAACTAATAAATCACGTCAACTACCATAATTTTATTATTTCTTTTGAGATTATTTTTTAAGCGGAGATCAGTGTAATATATTTGACAAAATTGCTAATGAATTGAAATGATCGAAATTATCTGTATTTTGAAGGTTTAAAATGAATACTTATGATTCAAACGATTTAGAGTACCTGATAGACATGATGTATATCGGAAGATTGGCCAGTGAGGAACGCGGATGGAATCCAAATGTGTATGAGGCATGGTGGTTCCGATGGTAAGTCGTCCTCATTTATAGGGCCCCGAAGACACTCTAATTCTGCTTGTAATAATTTCACTAATCTATCCCTAAACATTATTTTTAATTTTCATTGTTAGTATAAGTTGCCTATATTATTTGCATCCGGCTACAGTTGTCATACCTATCAGTTAATTGAAGAGTTAATCTTGCATTAAATTCCATTAACTCGGCATGCATTTCTGCGACTTGTATTAATTTCTCTTCATATTGTTGAGCTTCGTTATGGTAATCTAATGCCGGATCCTCTTCGGATACTGTTGTAGTATCTGAGTCTCTTCTTAACATTTGTACTGCTGTCACATATTTCCGTAACTGTTGTCTCAACAGTTCATTTTCTCTATATTTATATTAATATATTAAATATTAAGAACATTATGTATGTAAGTAGCCCAAAATAAATGTGAAGATATTATCACCTATTCAATGCCTGTATTTGCAATTCATGTCTTTCGAGATAATTTTGGTGTTGTCTCTGTAACCGAGCGAGCTGAGACCTACTAGCTACAGCATCTTCCCTAGCTTGTTCTAATATTTCATTCATTGCAATTAGCTTTACTCTTAGTGCCTCTATACCTAAACTTTCATCGTCTACATGAGCATCCAAGCCTGTTAATGGTTCAGTGGCTTCCACTGCAGCTTCTGTGATCTCGGATGAATCCTAAAGAAAACAAATTAACTTGTAGACCAATTTGATGTTTTTTAATATTCAATTAATTAATTACACTGTCCAACATCATCTTTACGTTTCGATTGGACAGTGTTAATTACCTGAATATATATTACATACATCTAAGTAGTTTGGCAACGCTATTAACATGTCATCTAACGTTTGATCTAAAGGCGATACAGGAACAAGACCACCCATATTACCGGCATCTGTGACTGGAGTTAATACTTTTTCTTCTTCAAAGGGTTCACTGAAAAGTTGAAAGGCATTATTATGAAATTAAAAGCGGAAAATTAATTCATTTTGTCTCTAGAACTGAAACTTTATTTACTTACCATTTCTCCCATCCCGAATTTTCTTTATCGACTTCTGCGCTAACATTATTCGATACATTATTTGTCTCAGTTTCAGATATTGATAAACAAAGAGACGGCGTATCTTTAGCGGTAGTTACCACAGGAGAATTCAAACATGTTGCAGGAGCGCTGACTGACGCATTAACTTCTGTAGTCTCCTGCTCGTCAGATTCATTATCAAACGAAATTATAGTTGGTACTTTCTTTTTTTGCTTTTGCTGTTTCGAAATAGGCCCTATTTTCAATAACACAGCGATTATAATGCAGTCTGTTTATTATATTAATTTAAAATATTTAATCACCTGGTATCGTAGTGGATATGATTGGCTCGGACAGTGAAACTTTCTGTTTATCAGTTTCTTTTCCCCGAGAATTATTATCCAATTCTTCATTATCTACTCTAATGGCGAATAAAATGCTACCAAGTCCTAATAATGAATAATATTTAGAAGATTTTAAGAGATAAAGCAAGAAGTATGAAGTACATTTATTTCTTGCATACCTGCAGCTACATTTGGCAGTACTGCACTTCGTTCTTGGTCAAGTAAAAATGCCCAATCTTCATAAAAAGAAGATAATATGTTAGGGTCAAGAATAGCATGTAAATGGCGTTCCAGGGAACGCTCATTTAAGACAGCTCTCAGCCATGCTCTGCCCCTACCATAATCTGTGTTAACTTTCTTTAGTACGCTAAAACGTTCTTGCTCATGCCATGTTAATTGTTCCTTTATATATGGCCAAAATGCTATGTCCGATGTATTGCCTGATTTTATATTGGCACCGGATACTATGTCAGATACATGCCTACAAACATCAAGGAGAGATGAGTCAATACAATGAGTGATCCATGATTTGACAAACATATTAGTCATGCCATTGTATTATCATACGAGTAGATAAAAGAAGCTGCTGATAAATACTTTATACGTATTACTTAATAATTTGATTGTTATAGAATCAAATAAAGAGTTTAGTGTTACCAATAATAAATAAAGTTAGTTAAAATGTACATCATCTTACGGAATAATGGAAATATTATCTTTCTGTAATACCTTAAAGCCGAATTTAGTTTCTCTATATAGTTTGTACGCAATCCATGACTAAAGACTGATTCAAATATATGACACAGCTGTTTCACGCATATATCTGACTCAGTAGCTAGCTCTGTACGCCCACCAAATCTAATATGACACTTTTTTGCAGTAGCCAATAAATCTTCCAGTAGTTTCTGTCGTTCGATTGCATGATCATAAGTTTGATTAGCATCGATTACGTTATGAGTGCCTGGCACTATTGCTGACATCATACGCAAAGCCTGGAACATATGCACGAATATTATAAATGCTGAACCTTAAAATAATTATGTAATGATAAATTCGTATAATCGTATTTGCACATTAATCTAATTAAAGTGTAAACATTACAGTTTCTTAATGACTTCATTTATGGTATATGTACAAACCATAATTATTCAAGTTTTCATTAAAAATATTGTTACTGTTCGATACGGAAACTGTCATTTCTTTGTTTGTAAAATTGCACGCGCATAATTTTCGATTGTATGAAAACGGTGTACGCATCGAATACTTTCTAATGCGCAATTTCTATGTCATCTGTCTCGGAGCAGAGTGTACATCTTCTTTCAGTAATCAACAAAACGTTTAATCACCGCATATATTACTTCATTACACTTGTCATGTATGTAACAAGTTCCTTATTAACTTGATAGGTTGACACTGACAATGAAAAACACGGACAGCGCTGTGGCTTCACGTAAAATCCAAATACACACCATGGATAAGAATCAGTTGTGATCACCGTCTATTTCCTTTCAAATTGTGGCCGTCATTAAAAAAAGTCGTACAAAAGATGTACATAAATATACAAGCACTTCTAGGAATTATTATATGTATAAGGTTTGTCATCGAGAACGTAGTGGTATTGTGACTGCTCCATGACAAATGAAAACCAGACTGTTCGTTCTCCTTCTTCCAAACTGGTACATACATAGACGAATTTACATAAGCAGAAAATTCAGGGGCGGAACTCAGTATCCTCCATCCTTGATACTTTTTCTCGTACACAGATCTGCCATGTGGGTTAGATATAAAACAGGCATAGAAAAAGTGCCGCCGTTCGCGGCGCATTTCAGGTGCGTTGATGCGTGTGTTTCCAGTACAGTCGATCAAACATGCTTGCGTCTGGCACTAGTTTGATTTCTTTAGGAACGCATTGATTTAATATTACCATCCGTCGTAACTGAACACAGACTCGAGAATCCTGTTTTACCGACTCGATATTTTATGACTGATTGTATCGTCACCGATATTTCAGAAATTTAAGCTTCTTGGCGAGAATCGAGTATTATGTACACCTCATTCGTATTACGTGACGTTTTATGATTTGGAAATTATATATATATATATGTACAAAAAAACGATTCTCTTAAATCCGGAGTTATAGGAATTTTACAAATTTTGAAATGTGCGTGCAACGAAAGTGATTTAACGAAATTATTTTTCGATATATATATTTGTGTTTCAAAAGTTCTTCTGTACCTCGAGCTTTGTTAGCTATTGCTGTTTAAACATTAGTACTAGAAGGTATCATTAGGAAAATAAATTCCTATAATTATTAAACAGCTTGAAATAATAAATTTACCGATAGAATATTTTCGATATAACAATTTTTCGACACATTCATGCTGCATGTTTGAATATGTTTTCTCCTAAAGAAAGCGAATCTTTTCCAAAGGGTTTATAAGGTCTAGGGATGGCTGCAAGAGAGAAGCAGGAAAATTAGAACAGGGAAAAGCCACCTGATTTACAAAATCTCTTTTTTATTGATGCTTCGACAACATGGGCTGAGACACACACATTTGCTCATATGAATTTATACCACTGCGTGTTCCAACATATACATACACAACTCGTTAAATTATTGCATCGCGCGGCACTAGATCGAAGAAATGGATTGACCACGAATCGTCAAGTACTTTAGACAAGATGATCAACCGAATGAACATACCGAGTCAATCGAAATTACGCAGAGACTCCGAAAGGATTCCATAAATCCATAAAATAACAATCGTACGCACAAGTAAACGCGTGTGGATGGATGTCACGAACGATTCAATCAGAATAATTATCTACATCGTACGATCACCTGACGCTTACAATTAGTATACGAACTCGTAAACTTCTCTTCACTGTAACCAATTTGATCCATCCGACAGTGAACAATAACGAACGGAAAATCGAAATCGAAACGATACATTCGGCCATCGATCGACAATCGAAAATCTAAATATTACTATTACTTACGTAGACTTACGCAACCGCGAAAGATATGTTTTAGGTTTCTTCGAAAAACATTCTTTCTCCGAGACATGTTCAACTTAAGCGCACGGTGTAAGCGTTTCCGATGCCACGATTTCTAAGAAAAACAATGATCAGTGCGCATTCGCGTGATACCTTCGGATTCGATAAGCTCCTTCGCTGGAATTAATCGTTGACCTACACGAATAATAATTATCCGAGGTGAGAGAAAAAGAGAGAAAGTTGGAGAGAGAGAGAGAGAGAGAACGAGAGAGAGAGAGAGAGAGAGAGAGAGAAAGAGAGAAAGAGAGAAAGAGAGAAAGAGAGAGAGAGAGAGAGAAAGAGAGGGAGAGAGAGACTGCAAGAGAAAGGGAGCGAGAGAATTTTTACGATCGTCTCAAAGATCCGTGAAAATCGTCTCTGATCGCAACGCGCACGTCCTTCTTCCCTTGCTCCCCTCTGCAGCATCGAAATGTGAAAAAAGAAACCATTTTTCGACCATTCTATATGCATACATACATGCATACACACACTTACATATATGTATATACATATATATTCGAGGAGACTCACGTGGGTCGCAAGAATAGGTTGACAGGATAGACTCTTCTAATAGACTTTGCAGACGGACATAATAGAAATATTTAATATATAGCATCATATATTAATATAATATTCAGTAATAATATAATATCTATTATATATTAATATGTATGATATTTTTTTTATCGTTTTTCAATATAGCGTTCTTTTACTTCCTCGTTACCCCCATCATCGTATCTCGTTTCATTTTTCCGTCCGAGGTTTGTGATATCCAGCGATTTCGATTCTTCCTCGTTCCGGATCGAACGATCGCGGTCCGCCGCAGCCGCGGCCACTCGGATCAATCGATCGGGATCGATTCATCCCCGTGGACCTCCGGCTGGACCGACCGCCGCGTTCCCATTTCGTTCCCTTTCCATTTCTTTGGTCGTTTTGCAACGTATGCGTTGATCGCGAAAACAATGATCTATATTCCGGACAGACACTAACTTTCGATATTTCTTCTGCCCTTCCTTCGAACTGAACAGCATTCTTAGAGAAACTCAACTGCGATTTCTTCCACGTTACCAGGGAAATTAACCGGTTAATTTCGAGCTGATCGACCGTCGTGCACCGTTCTCGCGGAATCGTCGCTCCATCGACTACTTAAAAATGAAAATTTTCTATTTTCAAATCGATGGTTGTGAATTTGATCAAGGAATATTTTAAAGCAAGGGACGTTTCTCAGTTTCTCGGTCGAACCGGTCCGGAACCATGCACGAGGGCGGATGGATGCGCTAAGGGCTGGCCAAGCACTAATGGATACGTGTAAATTGTCAGGTTGCTTTGTGCTCTTCCGTGATAAACAACACCTGATACTATCGTTGATAGAAATTATATAGCACGCATCGTTATTGCAGAATCCGTTCGGGCACGTTTCTAAGATAAAATATTCTGCCGTTTCCGGCAACATTTTTTTCACGGCTGAATTTTGTATAAGAAAGTTTCTGTCGGCACCGTTTCGTCAGGGATAGTTAACAAATGGTTAGAGAATCTGCGGTTTCATTTTCTAATTACGAGAGTGGAGCAACCTGACGCCTCTTGAACTCAAGGCAGAAGACGGTGTCAGAAGACACGTCGTCGGTACGCGTTCGCAACTCAATCGTTAATGTACGATTGGGCTGACGAGACGAGTATACGTAAATGTAAATGAAAATTGTCGCACGCTGTTACGTACGTAGTGACAGCAAACATCGTTCAGGAACCTTATATCCGGCGGTGACGAGAATACAATTAACAGAAGAACACGACACCGAAATGGGACAAGTGCATTCTCTATGCGCGACGAAAGTGTCCGCTGAACGCTGAACGAGAATAATTTATCCGATCGCTCGAAGCATGTTCGTTAGGAATTGAATTTCCGCTGAGACAGGCAAGCGTTCATCGTTGCGACTCGATTACGGTCGTTTATGCGGTTACGCTATTTACGCGGTACGGCTTATTTTACAAAATCTAGAACCGACAAGAAATTCTTGTCACGTATGAAATGCGTATCAAACCGAGAAAGTCGTAGAACTTTTCGCCTCCTTTTGATCTCGTTCAGGCGTACACACTGTACTCGCTGTAAAACGCACGCAATCCGCAGTCCAATTGCGACGATGTCTCTAATATTATTGTGTGATACGTTACTCGTCGTTATCGCGTACTCAATTTCAACACTGGAACTACAAAAACAAGCGACACGACTGGTTTCTGATTTTTCTCTTTCGCATTCGTTGAAATGATAAGAAAACCTTTCTGTGAGAAGCGTTCTCGAAAACTTCTTCCGACCGAAGCATGTATTATAACAGAAATCGTACTGCAGAAAAATAGTATATAACTTAGCTTAAGTCGTCGTGATTCAGTATCAAGTATTAACCCTTTGCAGTCGGAGCTCTATTTCAACTCGAAATCCAAAAGATGTTTTCTGATCTGCAGTATTTTCGTTTTATATGATTCAGTGCAATTTATGCATCCGAAATTGTGCCTATTGGCAAGTGCAATAATTGCAGTTTTAACAGTTCTTTAAATACAACAAATCGGGTACTGTTACGATTATTCAATGAAAAATGGTGTAACGATTTTTCGTGGCGCCTCAGACTCGCCGCTCGAGTGCAAAGGGTTAAGTATTAAGTAGTACGTAACAGAAAGAGAATTGTAAAAAAGGCGAGTATCGTATCAAATAAATAAAAAATAATAATAGAAATCGTGCACGAAGTTCGAGTCAATTCGATCTCGTTGTTGTTGTAAAACAATGTACATTAGCAACGTTTTACGTACTCGGGGTAGTTCCAGTGCCGAAGGGAACTGGAACGATATATATTAATCGATTGTAGACGAGTTTCACAAGTACGATCAAATCGTGGGGAAAACGCTTTGAGCCGCCCCAATTTTGTCGCGAATACTACCGCTATAAATTTTGCAAAACCTCATCGTTCGGTGAATAAAGTTCAGTTGGACAGCGGCCCCCGCCATTTTGAATCTGCCGGGTATGCACGGAAATATTCAAACCGTCTCGGCGGCCAATGAATATTTCCGCTCGAGATTCAAAGCTGTCGGCCGGATCTGCATGCATTGGCGAGAGGAGCACGAACACATCCCGAGTCCCTCGAGCGACCGATTTATTCGCGATCGGCGAGCAACGGGACGCGCAACGTCGACGTAGCGACGCCGCGTTTCAGACAGGAGGGGCGAACGCGCGACAAACAGCAAGAGGGCTGTGCGGAACAGAACTCGGTGTGAAAATTTACATGTGTACAAGCTCGTAGGGTCGCGCCGATGTTGGTTTGAACAACACGTTGCGAGTGAATTGTGCAAGAGAAACGGTATGTATTTACCGGCGAAAGGAAGTAGGCGGCCCCCCCTTGGGGAGGGAGGTGGGTGGGGGGGGGGGGCAGGTTGAAATACATCCGCGCCGGGACACGCCATTTTACGTCGCTAGACATTTGTCACGTGTATAATCGTTTATATTTATATAATTGTACTTTCTACGTTTAACTACCATTCACCTTTGATATTCTTGTGTTTCATTTATATAATTTCAAGAAAATAACATCCGTACAAAATTGACTACAGCCGATTGCTTTTCTGATGTGTGTTCGTTCGGTTTCACCGATCCCGGTCCGATCCGACCGCGACTCGAATCGGCCCGGTTCGCGCCCGTTCAAATCATTCTCGACGAAACGGAGAAACTAAAGTGTACCACACACACACTCCCTTCATTCCCCCAATTCGTTCGTCCGAGATTCTCCTTCTCATCCTTCTTCTCCTACCCCTGCTCCTTACGATATGACGTGTATGTACGTATTGACCTCGCCGATTGATTCCGACTGGCTATTCTTCTCCTCTTTAATCCTTCCGGCACGATTCCCATTGTTGGCCGGTCTCGTGCGCGCCCAAATTAATTGTCTACTTCAATTTCTCTAACGATTTTCGTCCGCCGCTCCCGCACGGCGATGTTCCCTCTTCGAACTGGATTGCGCCGATTCTATTGTATTATACAATCGGCTCCACGATTCGCATAGTTTCTAATCACGCTTAACCGCGCGTTCCCGCGTTCGCGTTTTAGTTCATAGCCGAACTCTGAACCCGAGTGGTCAACTTTGTTGCACTACACATTTCTCGTTCGTACGATTTTGTTCGTTTCTTTTCAATTGAACCGACAAGCCCAGCACCTTGCTGTCGGTGTTTGGTCATTGGGAGAAATTCAGGCATACCAATTTGGCGCTTTCTTTCCCATCAAATTATTAACACGTTGAATGCCACGGGGGTCACCGGTGACCGGCGCGCCCAAATTCATGGAAATATATACAATTTAAAACAAATGTCAATATCTAAAATTTTGTATTATTACCATCGTCGATTCGAACTGCGATCCCCGTCGCAATTAACACATTAAAGGCGGGGGATCTTGACGAAAGTATGCTAGGTAACGCGGCGACCGCCCCGCCTCGTTTTTCGTCCTAGAGCGGGCGATATTTTGTGTAATCATAAAAAAATTTAGGCTTAAAAAAGTTTATTTAAACTCTTAAAACTAAAAGAAATATTAAAAAAGAACTAAACACTAATTACAAAAAATGTTTTAAAGTACATATTTATGAGAAGTCGAAATCAATCGTAGTACTACGACTCCCGCCTTTAATGTGTTAACATGTCAAACATGGTTATACACTGTAACTTATCTATTGCAGATAATATTTCAACGTTATATGTATCACATAAAAGAAAATTCATCGTGGCGCCACGGGCAATTTCTGTAAAACCGGCGTGGCATTCAGCGTGTTAAACACGGTAGTCCTAATCGGCGTAGCTGTGAAATTGATCGCAGAACAAGGAGTTGACCTTGACCTTTACAGAAACCTTTACAGAAACCCAACCTTTACAGAAACAAACTATCACACCGAAGAATTAAACGGATGAAGAATTCAGCGACAGTTAAGAAAATTGAAATAGCAGTTCGCGTAAAATCGACGGGACAATGGAGCAATTAAAGTGACATCCATCGTCGCGTACAGCTGGCAGGAAGAAACTAAAAGGACGACGAACTTATCGATAGTCTAGAAACTTGAAATAATAATTGAATGAATAAGATGATCGCCCATCGTCGCCAACGATCGCTGGCCAAGAAACTTAAAATAGTCGTTCAAATCTGTCCTCGCAATCGAACAAATAAAATGGTATTCATCGTCGCTCACAGCTGATAAGATGAAACTAAAAATTCGGAGAATTTATAGCTAGACGAAAAATTGCAAATGATCGTTCCAAGTCGTGTCGCGGCAAGTGGCTAAATGAAATGGTAATCATCATCATCGTCCGTAAGATAATTCGAGTTTCGTTGCGCAAGGTTGCCGGAAGGATTAACGCGTGTGCTAGATCCGTTTCCTCAGGTTTACTCGAAAAAGTCCTATCAAGTTAAGAAAATATGCGGGGACATCTCCGTATTAAGTCGCTAATTACTTTATACAGATATTTAACCGTTAGAACGTGCGGCTCGTGCTTCTTAAGCGGAAACGTTGAGGAGCGTACGCTGCCAATTGCGGAAGTACAGTACGAAGCATAGTGGTTCTCGTGAACACGAACGCGCGGATCGTCCCTGCATGCACGCGCTAACGATCCTCCTCGTATCGCGTGTCTGCCTGTTAGACGGAAAAGCAATGCGAATTTATAAAAATCCGTGCGCGGAGAAAAACACTTATCGCTTCCATTGCGCGACGTCTCCGCCCCGTTTTCCGTGTGGCGTCGATAATTACGTATCTTCTCGTGGTTTCTTCGACGATCAGCTATTTTCGAAGTTGTGTCTCCATTTCGCAGTGAACAAACAATAATCTTCGTATCGTTAATATTGTTTTTATCAGCCGAAGTTGATCGAACGGAAATTCGGCATTGTCTACTTGTTAGAAAATCTAAGAAGATTTGTAATTCATTCCGAGATATTAACGCAGTTCGATTTTATTCATTGAATTCGGCTGGGAATTGGACGAGTTTCGAGGAAACCGTTTGCCGCGTGATTTTTACAAATGGCAAAACACTTCTCGGAGACGCTCCGCCAAAATGGCGGCTACGGAGAACGTGCTCGCGAAAGATCACTTTCTCCGGACATAGTGCCGTGACCGCGTCACGGGGGCGAATCCCAAACTACTTTTGCATCGTCGATGATGTCAATTGCTTTTGGTCCTTCTTGTACCTTTCGTAATTGATTTAATTCCACTCGCTCGATTATTATACCTCTCTATCGAGCGTCCGAGGCCTCCGCTCGAACGTGCGAAAATGATACGGCGCTGTCCGCGTAACACGGGATGATCTGGGTTAAATGCTGCCGTCGGTATCCTTGGTAATCATCCAAGAATCTTTCCAGATTCAGTCTGACACGTTTATCTATTTTCTTTAAATTAAAATACTGTACGAGTTGCGTATAATTTCAAACCGTCTAAAAGATTGATTTTTCTTCAACAAAAATGACCTGTAAACGATAAACAAACTGCAGAATTTCGTGTGAAACAAGATGCACAAAATATTAGACGGTGTAGAACAAAAGGTAGAAGCCATTGAAACGAATGTTTGTTCGATAAAGACTTTTGCACGAAATAGAAATTTTTCGATGCGATCGAAACTAGGAAGAAATAGAAATTTCTCATTGAAGAAATTTTGCTCGGTTGAACATAAGATAATGATGTTCTTTAATTCTTTTGATAGTTCATTTATCTTCGTCGACGGTGCATAAACTCCGCGGAGCCTAATAACGAAACAATAATATAGTATATAAGTATTAATTCTATACTATAGTTGGTCAAGAACTATCGTGACATAATCATAGTATATGCAAATATTCAACTAAATATATAAAGGAGATGATCCAATCAAGAGAGGAGAAGTAATATTTTCCTCGACAAAAGAAATGATTTGATGGCCGTACGATGGTTTCTCAAGAAGATACCTGGCAGCCTTGAAAGCGAACCATCCCGTGATTGCAGCAAGCTTGTATATACACGACGCACACGTAACTCGATGCAGCTACCGTGTTCGAACCTTGTCGAACCGTTTCTATCTGGACCGGAATATGTAGTCCGGCAGGTTTCGCATATGCATATGTGTTCAAGGTAGCCGGTGACAGATCGGCCACGAGTGCTCTCTCGCCTCATTTTTTTTCGGCGGGCTCTCGGCCGACGATGGGCCGGCGATCGAAGGATTTTCGCGCGACGTCCGGTCGGAGGGCGTAATAAAAATTGACGCGGAGGGGTTGTGCACTTCTCTACTCGTAGTTTAATCTTATTAGGCCGAGGGCGGTCTTCGAGACGCGCTCCGTCGAGTTCTTAATCCGGCCGGAGACAGTCGTGACTGTGACTAGACACGTTCCTCACCGTAACAACTTCCGTCCTTGGACACGCGGCGAACTCGGAAACGAAACGATCGTCGTTCGTGTCCGATTCGGAACCGAACAAACGGCGAAAAGGAAAGCGAGAAAGAACAGACCTCTAATTCTCACCGTACATCGTTACATTATAGGGATGCCAAACGGAACGCTCTCGTATTCTCTGTCTATTCCATGTACGCGGATTAATTCCAATTGCGATCGACTCGACACACGCGACCGGAAGTTGCCACGAGAATGGATGTGTGTCGCGAGAGGCGACTGATAGATCTCCACACCGCGATTACCTTTTTCGTTAATATTTACAGTATAAGCTGTCCACTAATTCTTAACCGTCGACGAGACATTTCTTCCTACCCCGTTTCCTTGATCTCCGTTTCCACCTCGTTCTTTCGCCTTTTTTATCATGTTCTTTTTTTTTCTTCCGCGCGACATTATTCGTGATTACTTTAGCATTCTCGTCGGGAGAGAACGTTGTTTCGTCGTTGATGAGAGAGTCTGTACAAAAAGGGTGATGATCCGTGTATAAATCGCACGCCGACGCGGCCGGGGTAGCGTTCAAGGGGTCCTCAAGGTGTACGCCGTGTTCGCCTTGAACGCTGCCACCATCGGACCCGGGGTTCGGCCTCGGCTCGAGCCCGAGCTGCGTGATTTATCGTGATGTATTTTCATATCCTAGTAATGGCCCGAGAGGACCTAACCACCTAGTGTCGGACGGTACCGGTGTCTTTCAGGGGATGCACGAGTGCGTGTTGGTGGCCTGCGCCGGCGACGACAGGGCCACCGAGAAGTCCGAGTCGAGAACCAGGTCGCTGATGCAGCCGACGATGCCCTTCGTGTATCTGCCGCCCGTTGTCCTCACGATGTCGGGCGCGCCCCCTGAAAACGGACAAAGGTTACCCATTTCTATCAAATCTCGTCGGAAATGCCATCAGGTTGTGCCAACGTTGCCGCAATTTTTACAGATTGATTTCAGACTAGGTCGCAGACTTCCATACAATTTTTATTATAACGTGCACCCGACGAAAGACATTTATCAAAAATTGTCTCGGGAAAACGTTTTTGCAATTTCAATCATAGTAAAAGGAAAAATAAATGAGCATTTTTGAGAAATATTCTCTTCAAACGTATATTTCGAATTTACTTCGTTGTTTTGTATGTTTATTTGTTAAAGTATGGTAATATTTACTAAAGTATAGAAGTATTTATTGAAGTATAGCAGTATTTATTAAACTATATCGGAGTAGTTAACGAAGAGTGATAGTATTTACTAAATTACGGTAGTATTTACCAAAGTATGGTAGCATTCACTAAATTATGGCAGCATTTACTAAAGTATGGCATGGCAGTATTTGTTTGCATCATCGAATGCAAAGTGTACCCGACGAAAGACATTTATCAAAAATTGTCTCGGGAAAACATGTTTGCGATTTCAATCATATAGTAAAAGGAAAAATAAATGAGCATTTTTGAGAAATATTCTCTTCAAACGTATATTTCGATTTTACTTCGTCGTTTTGTATGTTTATTTGTTAAAGCATGGTAATATTTATACTAAAGTATAATAGTATTTATTGAAGTATAGCAGTATTTACTAAACTATATCGCAGTAGTTATCGAAGAGTGATAGTATTTACTAAATTACGGTAGTATTTACCAAAGTATGGTAGCATTCACTAAATTATGGCAGCATTTACTAAAGTATGGCATGGCAGTATTTGTTTGCATCATCGAATGCAAAGTGTACCCGACGAAAGACATTTATCAAAAATTGTCTCGGGAAAACGTTTTTGCAATTTCAATCATAGTAAAAGGAAAAATAAATGAGCATTTTTTGAGAAATATTCTCTTCAAACGTATATTTCGATTTTACTTCGTCGTTTTGTATGTTTATTTGTTAAAGCATGGTAATATTTATACTAAAGTATAGTAGTATTTATTGAAGTATAGCAGTATTTACTAAACTATATCGCAGTAGTTATCGAAGAGTGATAGTATTTACTAAATTACGGTAGTATTTACCAAAGTATGGTAGCATTCACTAAATTATGGCAGCATTTACTAAAGTATGGCATGGCAGTATTTGTTTGCATCATCGAATGCAAAGTGTACCCGACGAAAGACATTTATCAAAAATTGTCTCGGGAAAACGTTTTTGCAATTTCAATCATAGTAAAAGGAAAAATAAATGAGCATTTTTTGAGAAATATTCTCTTCAAACGTATATTTCGATTTTACTTCGTCGTTTTGTATGTTTATTTGTTAAAGCATGGTAATATTTATACTAAAGTATAGTAGTATTTATTGAAGTATAGCAGTATTTACTAAACTATATCGCAGTAGTTATCGAAGAGTGATAGTATTTACTAAATTATGGTAGTATTTACCAAAGTATGGTAGCATTCACTAAATTATGGCAGCATTTACTAAAGTACGGCATGGCAGTATTTGTTTGCATCATCGAATGCAACATAGAAGAACCCTGGCGGCTGTTAACGCAGCGACGCTCGTCCAAAGGGGACAAGTTTAAACTTCGAGCAATAAAGAGACAATTGGAAATATAAAATGCAAGAAGCGTGGGCGGCGGCACGCAGAACGTTTCGAGAAAGTAAAACGCCACCCGGTTGGAATTTACATCCATAAGTCGGCGGCAGTTTAATAATAAATCAAGCCCTTTCTTAGAGAGTTGAACAACTTATTGTTAGAAGTTTCGTTGAATTTTGTCACCCTTACGCGCGCGGGGCCGACCCACTTCTCGTAATTTTGGTGATAACTCAAAGACGACTGAACAGAGGTGTACAGGTCGGTTCAGGTGCGGGTTGCTGCAGTTAATCTGGAACGGTTGCGTTGCGCTCCGACGTGGAAATACGGTTTCGCGGAAGTTAATGGCGGCTCGAATTATTAAGCACCTGCGGGGGAACGCCATACTGTTATCTTCCGTTCATAAAATTGTTTTATGCGCCCGCTATTATTTTTAGTTCAACAGATACACCCCCTGAAAGCGAAACAAGTGCATTCGTTCAATTGCTATTTCTGCGAAGGAAACCTTTTGTACATTCGTTGCTCTATCTTTAATTTTGTCTACATCTTTCACAGTCTATCGAATGTTTCTGTTCTCAATTTTATTTTTGTCCCCGAAAACATTCAGTTTTTCCATTCGATCGTATTTTTGTTTCCGACAATATTCAATTTTCATATCCTCAATTTTATCTCTTCTTATCGTTTCTGACGACATTCAATTTTTCTATTCTCAATTTCACTTTCGTCTCGGACACAACATTTAATTCTTGTATTCGCAATTTTATTTTTGTTTCTGACATCGTTCAATTTTTATATTCTCAATTTTATTTTTGCTTCCGACGACATTCAATCTTTCTATTCAATTTTCATTTTTTAGTTCTCACGATATTTATTTGCTGCAATCCTAATTTAATTTTTTGCATGCTACAGAAAGTGAAATACTTCTCAACCGTTGTCCAATAATTTAAAAACATCGTCTGCTTACTCAGGTAGGCTAAGAAAAAGTCATCATCTGGCTAAGAAAAGATAGCTTAAATTGGTAGTTATTTAATTAGGTACAATGAGGAGGTCAAGATGCCTAAAAGAAATATTTAGAAACTACATGTTTAATCCTCATCTCTCCAGAAATAGTTGCACATTCCACCTGAATATCTTGAAGACACCAAATCGTGGTTCATTTATAATTCCATAAATCAAAGAAATCCACATCTAATGGTGCAAACAAAAATAATTAAAACTCCGTCGCTAATGACCAAGAAGTCGATACGGCCACGAAGAAGAAGAAGAAGAAGAACCAAAAACGGGCGAATTTTCTTTCTGAAGGACAGACGAGGGTTAATTAAAACTCTTGAATAAATCTATAAAAATCCTTAATCGCAGTCGATGGCTCAGCCATGAAGAACACCCTTTACCCAACGCCTAATTACTGATTAAACAAACAATTAAAAGTCCCACTCACCAACGTAGAGTCCTGTGTCAGTGTTCAACTGTCTGAGCTGTCCGGGCGACGACGCGGAGACGCCAGTGCCGCTGTCAACGACCAGCGATGCCCACTGCTCGTTCCTAAAGAAAAACAGCTCGACTTTAGAACACGAGAACTCGATTAACAAAGACGTTAAGCATTTTAACAAGGAGAGGTCCACAGACCTGACACTCACTTTTCGATGAGCTTTTGCACAGTCGTACAATTAAATTTGATAATACTCGCTTTTGAGTGCAGACGGCCTATTGTTTATGAGATATTTAATGTTAAAGTTGTTAATAACAAAGTCAGAAAGACGGGCTGCTGCGACGCGTCGCGTTCAGGCATATACATATATAAATATAATGTTACAATTATAATTTTTATTTTTATGTACATACAGATGTGTACAATTAGATATAAGAATATAATTAATTATATGTATATGTATATTTAATTATATATAATTAGATATAAGTACATATATTTAAGCATATATATTATTATTATTATATTTATATTTATATTATTATTTATATATTATTATTATTATATATTAATAATATTATATATTATTAATATATAATTATTATAGTTAATATGCAATATATATATACTTAAATATATGCTTAAATATATGTATATTAAATATATATATACTCAAATATATGCTTAAATATATGTATATTAAATATATATATACTCAAATATATGCTTAAATATATGTATATTAAATATATATATATATAGCATATTAACTATTAACTTATTGCGTATTAAAGAAAGGAATTTTTGTAATTGTGTAATAGGGCGCTTGTAACCCTTGCACATGAGATAAACATTACTTTACACTACACCTCAACTATCAAAAAGAGAATGTCACGCCTGGGGACCTCTGCTCGTGTTTTTCCCCGATCCCTAACAGTGTCCACGGATCGAATAACACACGTCGGACGGTTTTACCTGACTGCGCGTACACGGTGCCACAGATCATCGTCAAGTCTCGTTAAATTGTATCGCAGAACCGCCTCGCCGGAGCCAAGGTTGTACGCCAGAGTCAGATAACCGCGATCCAAGCCGAGAGCAAGAAAATCGTCGTTCTCGTCCCTTTGTTCCTGCGGATCGGACTGGCGACCGCTCCACAATAGCAGGCCGCTGCTGCTGCTAGCTCGGAATCGCATGTTGATGTCCACTCTGTAGCTGATTATCCTGCAACAGGCGAATTTCATTTTCTCTGTGCGCGGTTTCAACATTTTAGCGACATTATATTGGGTTGGCAACTAAGTAATTGCCGATTTGTTCAATGAAATCAAAAATTTTCTTTTACTTGGAACGAAGTTTAATCTGTAATGTATTTTCCATTTTGTTCGGTGACCTTTTGCCATCTCTCCGACAACTTGAAAATTCCACGCTCGTAGAAAGTCTGATCCTTTTCGGCCAAAAACTGAGTTAAGTGAGATTTTACAGCGTCATCGTCATTCAAAGTTTTACCACGAAGGGAGTTGTCCAGGGATCGAAATAAGTGGTAATCCGATGGCGCGAGATCAGGGCTATATGGTGGGTGTAACATCAATTCCCAACCAGTATCCATTAATTTTTGCCGAGTGGACAAAGACGTGTGCGGCCTAGCATTATCCTGGTGGAAAATGACACCTTTACGACTGACCAATTCTGGTCGCTTTTCCTTGACCGCTGCATT